ATTGCGGTTTGAAAATATGCTGGCGAATAATAGAAATTGGTCAGCGATTCCCGTCACAGCGGCTGGTTTGATCTGGAGGGTACTTTTTGTCTTTGCAAAAGTTTTATATATATATACATACATACATACATACATACATACATACATACATACATACATACATACATACATACACACAAACAGATAGATAGATAATAAGTAGTTACATAGATAGATGATAGATAGATAGATAGATAGATAGATAGATAGATAGATAATATAGAGATAGATAGATAGATAATATAGAGATAGATAGATAGATAGATAGATAGATAGATAGATAGATAGATAGATAGATAGATAGATAGATAGATAGATAGATAGATATAGACGGACAGACAGACAGACAGAGATAGCTAGACAGATAAGATAGAGATAGATAGATATAGACAGACAGACAGATAGATAGATAGATAGATAGATAGACAGACAGAGATAGATAAATGAGATAGATAGATAGATAGATAGATAGATAGATAGATAGATAGATAGATAGATAGATAACATTTATTGTCATTTTTACTGTGGGCACAATGGCCCACATTAAAAATGAAATTTTTGCTTGCTCTCCCAGTGTACACATACATAATACACATTTAAACATACTATATGCAACATAGGTATCGACCTACACCCTTACATATAAGTAACATATAAATACTAATCACTATATATACACACAAATATATATATATATATATTTAAAAGACAACAAAGTGATCACCAGGAAGTACTTCCTGGTGATCACTTTGTTGTCTTTTAAAAATATGTTCATACCCAGGAATCGATCTTCTATTTTTAATGTTATTTTTAATATATATATATATATATATATATATATATATATATATATATATATGGAACTTTCTCACCAAATATTCTGCAGAGAAGGAATACAGGCAGTCCTCAACTTACAACAGCTTTTTTAGTGACCGTTGAAAGTCACAACAACACTGAAAACACTGACTGATGATCGTTTTTCACACTTATGACGACTGCAGCATCTCCATGGTCACATGATCAAAATTTGGACACTTGGGGCAAACTGATTCACACTTATGACGGTTGCAGCACCCCGGGGGGGTGTCCCATGATCCTCTTCTGCGACCTTCTGACAAAGTCAAGGGGGGGGGAGCCCGATTCGCTTCACAGCCGTGTTGCTAGCTGAAGAACTGGAGTGATTCACTTAACGAAGAAAAGTCATAAAACGGGGCAAAACTCACTTAAGAAATTTCTCACTGAGCCACCTAAATTTTGGGCTCAGTTGTGTTCGTAAGTCGAGAACTGCCTGTACTCAGGTGTGTCCTGGGCATGGATCCTGAGCATGAGAAGATTCCTAAAGAACAGAATTTGAGGCACGATTTAATATGCTGGCAAAAATTAGAAATTGGTCAGCAATTCCCGTCGCAGAGGCTGGTCTGATCTGGAGGGTGTTTTTCATCTTTGCAAAAGATTGATATTATTGTTATTGTTGTTGTTATTGTTGTGGTTGTTATTGTTGTTGTTGTTGTTGTTGTTATTATTATTATTATTATTATTATTATTATTATTATTATTATTATTATTATTATTATTATTATTATTATTATTATTATTATCTTTCTCAACTAATATTCTGAAGGGAAGGAATATACCGGTCTGGATTATGAGCGCGACAAGACTCCTGGCTAGTGCAATTTGAGGCATGATTTCTCCAGTGAAAACGACAAGAGGTTTTATTCCCACCTCGGAGCATGAAAGTTTAGCAAGTCTGAACTCAAGAAAGGAAGGCCTTACCTGATGATTTGAAGGCAGTCAGTTGTACAGCCTGGAAAGAGAGAGAGAGAGAGAGGGATTGAGACAGAGATTGAGAGAGAGAGAGAGAGAGAGAGAGAGAGAGAGAGAGAGATGGAGAAAGAGAGAGAGAATGGGACAGAAAGAGAGAGAGAGACAGATTGAGACAGAACGAGAGAGAGATTGAGAAAAAGAATGAGAAAGAGACAGAGACAGAGAGAAAGAAAGAGAGAGAGAGAAAGAGAGAGAGAGATTGAGATGGAGAAAGAAAGAGAGAATGGGACAGAAAGAGAGAGAGAGAGAGATTGAGACAGAGAGATTGAGAGAGATTGAGAAAGAGAGATTGAGAAAGAAAGAATGAGAGATTGAGACAGAAAGAGAGAAAGAGAGAGATTGAGAGATAGAGAGACAGATAAAGAGAGATTGAGAGAGAGAGACTGAGACACAGAGAGAGAGAGATTGAAACAAAGAGAGAGAAAGAGAGAGAAAGAGAGAAAGGGAGAGATTGAGACAGAGAGAAAGAGAGAATGAGACAGAAAGAGAGAGAGATTGAGACAGAGAGAGATTGAGAAAGATTGAGATAGAGAGAGAGAGAGAAAGAGAGAAAGAGAAAGAGACAGAGAGAAAGAAAGAGAGAGAGAGAGATTGGATGGAGAAAGAAAGAAAGAATGGGACAGAAAGAGAGAGAGAGAGATTGAGACAGAGAGATTGAGAGAGATTGAGAAAGAGAGATTGAGAAAGAAAGAATGAGAGAGAGATTGAGACAGAAAGAGAAAGAGAGAGATTGAGAGATTGAGACAGAGAGAGAGATTGAGAGACAGATAGAGAGAGAGATTGAGAGACAGAGAGAGATTGAGAGAGAGAGAGACTGAGACAGAGAGAGAGATTGAGAGACAGATTGAGAGAGCTTGAGAGAGAGAGAGAGAGAGAGAGAGACTGAGACAGAGAGACTGAGAGAGAGATTGAGAGAGAGAGAGACTGAGACAGAGAGAGAGAGATATTGAAACAAAGAGAGAGAAAGAGAGAAAGAGAGAGAGAGAGATTGAGAGAAAAAGAGAGAGATTGAGACAGAGAAAGAGAGAGAATGAGACCGAAAGAGAGAGCGATTGAGACAGATTGAGAGAGATTGAGACTGAGAGAGAGAGAGAAAGAGATTGAGAGAGAAAGAATGAGAGAGACAGATTGAGACAGAAAGAGAGAGATTGAGAAAAAGAATGAGAGAGAGATTGAGACAGAGAGAAAGAGAGAGAGAGAATGAAAGAAAGAGATAGAGAGATTGAGACAGAGATTGAGAGAGATTGAGACAGAAAGAGAAAGAGAAAGTGATTGAGAGACGAGAGAGAGAAAGAGAAAGAGACAGAGAGAAAGAGAGAGAGAGATTGAGACAGAAAGAGAGAGAAAGAGATTGAGAGAGAGAGATATTGAGAGAGAGAGAGAGAGATATTGAGAGAGAGAGAGAGAGAGAGAGAGAGAGAGAGAGAGAGAGAGAGAGAGAGAGAGAGAGATGCTAATCCCCCTAAATCTCTGCAGGTGACCCCCATTTGTCTTCAATCTCGTAGTCAAACAGGTTCCCAGAAAACAATATCCAGTTAAACTTTGCTAATCAAACTTTCATCGGAGCTCTTTTCAGTCTACAAATATTATCGTAAGCAAACAACATATCACCTCGATTTTATAACACAACGATGCTTAGGATCCCGTCTTGGATGACCCAAAAACCCTTTTAAATGTGTTTATTGCCCCAAACCACGGTTCTGGCTTCTGCTTTTCTATTCTACGGTGCTAAGAGGTCATGATCAAATTCCAGGTCAATTCTTTCTTTCTTTCTTTCTTTCTTTCTTTCTTTCTTTCTTTCTTTCTTTCTTTCTTTCTTTCTTTCTTTCTTTCTTTCTTTCTGGGGCGCTGGCTTTTTCCAATCTCCATTCCCTTCAAAACTGGAAGTGCAATTGTAAAAAAAAAGAAACTTGTTTCATTTTTTTTTACGATCCCCCCCCTTGTAAAAATTATTTTAATCCATTCTACCTCACAGTGGCGCAGCCTTCTGGTTGCTGGACCCCTAAAGGATGATGTGATTTGCAGTCCATGCGTCTGCAAGGTACAAGCAACTCCATTTTCATGGACTCAGAGGTTTAGAGGGACCCCCGAGGTCATCTAATCCAACCTCTACACAAACACAGCCACAATGAACCTTGAATTCAACCTCAAGATTGCCAGACTGCATTTTTTTTCACCCAGGTTTAGTGAGTCCACAGTGGGTTCAATTCAAGTCACTCTTATCCACAGCCTGGGAAACCCCGTTATTTTATTTATTTTTAATCACGGATAAAATATCCTTTGAGCCCAGTGAGGTGTGTGTGTGTGCATATAATGTGCCAGCGAGTCATTCCTGACTCACAAATCGCTGCCTAGATGTTCTCCATCAACATGCATCGACACACACAAAAACACCCACCCACGCAGCACCCTACAGCGCACCAGACTGAAAGTACCTGCCTCTTTTGTTAAAAAAACAAAAAACAAAAGAAAGGAAAAACAAAGCTAAGTTTCTAGACCTTAGGATCAGGAAGTTGATCTCGAACCGCTGAGAGCCAACCTTTGCCATTTTTCTCTCCCTCCCCCCCCAGAATTCACTTTATCCCAAGTCCACCTTCAACCTTTTCTGGTCACTCCAGCTGGAGAAGGAGACGGAGAAACCCGGGCGCGCGAAGCTCGCATCCTCTCCGCCTCGTGAGTCCAACGCTGGCCTTGGCATTTAAAAAATCGCCAGCAACGTTTCTGGCTGGCTTAATTGCATGAGCCTGTGCTCAAGGCCAGGTGCCCGGTAACTTGGCAATGACACGGGTCGCTGGATCTAACACCTGGGAGGTGACCGGCACCCTGATTTTGCTAGCCCAAAACAAGAAGGCCAGGCGAGGCGTACTTCGCTGATTAAAATGGGGTGGGGGCAGGAAAGAAGGGGAGTGGGGGAAGAGCTGTTTGTTTGACGGAGAGGCATGGGGGGGGAACGCTTGGATGTCAAGCAGCCGACCGCGCCCATCGTCCTTTTCAATAGCCTGGCAGAAATGTCATCTAGGCATCTGCGCCCCCATGTCACCGGGATTTGGCCGGTGAGAACACGGCGTTCGGCTGGGAAGCTGCTAACGCTGCTGATGACGGATGGGCGAGGGGGGGGGGAGAAGCAGGAAAACCTCTCCGCAGGTTTTGGATCCAGATGCTGCGAAGGCAGGTGGACCTCCATATCTTTGTTTAGGTCTGGATCCAGATGGTATGAAGGCAAGTGGGCCTCCATAACTTTGTGCAGGTCTGGATCCAGATGCTGCAAAGGCAGGTGGGCCTCCATAATGTCATGCAGGTCTGGATCCAGATGCTGCCAAGGCAGGTGGGCCTCCATAAACTTTGTGCAGGTCTGGATCCAGATGCTACGAAGGCAGGTGGGCGTCCGTAACTTTGTGCAGGTCTGGATCCAGATGTTACGAAGGCAGGTGGGCCTCCATAAACTTTGTGCAGGTCTGGATCCAGATGCTACGAAGGCAGGTGGGCGTCTATAACTTTGTGCAGGTCTGGATCCAGATGCCGCGAAGGCGGTGGGCCTCCATAAACTTTGTGCAGGTCTGGATCCAGATGCTACGAAGGCAGGTGGGCCTCCATAAATTTTGTGCAGGTCTGGATCCAGATGCTACGAAGGCAGGTGGGCCTCCATAACGTTGTGCAGGTCTGGATCCAGATGCTGCGAAGGCAGGTGGGCCTCATAACTTTGTGCAGGTCTGGATCCAGATGCTGCGAAAGCAGGTGGGCCTCCATAACTTTGTGCAGGTCTGGATCCAGATGCTGTGAAGGCAGGTGGACCTCCATAACTTTGTGCAGGTCTGGATCCAGATCCAAGCAGGTCTCCTTTGAGCTGACCCACTGAAAGCAATGGGGGTGAAGATGGTTTTGTCTAATTTCAGAGCTCAGTGGTCCTCCTGGGCCTTTTGGAAGGGTCCACCTCTTTCCACAAAGCTCAGGGGCAGTGGTGGCCCTGACCTTGGGTGATTGAGAGACCCAGCCTCTTTCCTGGACATTGGGGAAGGGGGCTGAAGGTGGCTCTCATTCTGAATAGGTTGGGTGGGCACCCAACCTATCCTGTGGCTTCTTAGGGTGAGAGTGAGGAGACTCTGCAGGATTAAGGTGGGATCCTTCCACACCTGAGCGATGTAGAAGGACCCGGGAGATTCAGAAGGACCTTCAGAAGGGGTCAAATGGAGGATTTCTTGCAAGCTTAGATTCTTGAGAGGTTAACACAGCTTGGTGTGTGTGTGTCAGGAGACAGATAGGATAAAAAACAAGTCTGGTGTCATTCTTGCAGGTGGGCATGGAGAAGAAGGAGAAGCATGCTTTCTTTCCATGTGGAAGGGCCTCCTAGATGCTACTGGCCTTCACCATTTGCGTGTTCACACACCCCATAGGTCCCCTGTGTGCTCAGCCAGGGACTTGGCTCCATAAACTGGCCCCACAACTTTCCTTGAGACAACGGGAAGCTAGTCTCACAAGGTGTTCCCCTTAGCAGGTCTAACTCTTTCTCCTGCAAGATGGCGTCCTCCAGATGCTTGAGGTCCAAAGATGGCCACGGGAAAGAGGAGTCGTGGAAACGACACAACACGGACAACAGGGTGCTTGACTGAGGCTAGGGCGTACACCCCACACTTGGCCATCAGACCTGTTTTACTCAACACAAGAGATGCGAAATGCTCACACTGACAAAAGTGGCCTGATGCCAAGGAGAAGGTGAACATTTAGGGCATCTTCTGAGGGGTGGGACTTACCGGTTTCTCTGGCGACATAATGGATGAAACAGTCCGTGGGATTTTGGCACTGAAGTTCCCTATATTAGGAAAGGGGCATCAGTTGGGTGCAAAGAGCCAACATCCGAACGCAGCCCAAGTCTTCCTGCCGGCTGGAATAGCTGTTCTCCTTACCTTTGCTCTTGGACGTGGTGTCCTTCTCGGTAGAACAGGATGTACTTTCCGGAGTGGTTGGGTTGAATCTGGCCATCTCCCAGGAGGTGTTCCTGGGGCTTGACAGATAATTGACAGGGTGGGAGCAGTTCTGAAACAACAGGAGAAGAGAAGCTCTGGAGGGAGAGGACCTTCCCTGAAGCCTGGGAGAAGCAGGAAAATCTCTCCGAGACGCTGCGAAGACAAGGTGGGCCTCCATAACTTTGTGCAGGTCTGGATCCAGACGCTGCGAAGGCCAGGTGGGCCTCCATAACTTTGTGCAGGTCTGGATCCAGATGCTGCGAAGGCCAGGTGGGCCTCCATAACTTTGTGCAGGTCTGGATCCAGATGTTGCGAAGGCAAGGTGGGCCTCCATAACTTTGTGCAGGTCTGGATCCAGACGCTGTGAAGGCAAGGTGGGCCTCCATAACGTTGTGCCAAAGTGGGCTGGATCCAGATCCAGGCAGGTTCTCCCCTGAGCTGAAAGCAACGGGGTTGAAATTGAAATTGACTAATTTCAGAGGCAGGAGAGAAGCCTCTGTCCATCTCTCACTGGATCCACTTTGAAGGCAGAAAGTTACTTCCTCTGGGAAAAAGTTAAACTAGGCTTGCCTCCTGTAGATGCTAGATTTCTTAGACAGGGAATATGGAGATTCCTAAGCAGAAATTCTACCAGACCAGTCTCAGAGGAGGTCTTTCATATCTGGATCACAGAAATCCAGATGTTCTTTAGATGGTGTCCAAGAGACACAGACAGCTCCAGCATGTCACTGCCCCGTATAGACCAACCCATTTTTTCCCCCAGGTCATTTACGGAAGGATCTGGAAAGACCTTGGAATGGTGAACAATAAACCCCCACATCATCTGATGAAGAGAGAACCAAGGGACCTCTGAAATTTCCAAAAGCCGTCAAGACTAGACCAGGGCTTTTCAACCTTTTCACCCATTGTACCACTTGTAGGATATGGCAACATCCGAGTACCACCAGTCGCCTAGCAAGGTGTCAAAAACTTGATGACCCCCCCCAAAAGGAAAAAGAGTGATAAAGTACAGGTAGTCCTTGACTTACAACCGTTCGCTTAGTGACTGTTTGAAGTTACAATGGCCCTGAAAAAAGTGCCCCCCAAGCCACAGCCGAGCAAGACACCTGCCTGCCCACCCGGTGGCGCTCTTCCTCCTGTCCGAGGTTTTCATTGTTGTGAGCATTTCTGTTGAGGATTGGCAGCGGGGGTGGGGTGGGGGGTGTTTGGTTTTTATTCCCTCCCCATCTGCTGGGTGGTTGCAGCAGGTTTTGTTCACTTCACATGACCCTGGGACACTGTGACCGTCATAAATATGAATCAGTTGCTGAGCATCTGAATGTAAATCACAAGACCCTGGAGATGCTGCAACATTCCAGCTGATCAGCCTTCTGGGCTCAGCAGAAGCGCCAGGATCAGCGCCAAGATCCAGCTGGAGCCTGGCGCTGATCCTGGCACTTCCACTGAGCTCTGACAGCCCTGCAGCTCCAGCCATCTCTCGCTCAGGCTTGTGTGGTGCTGCCACCAGTTCAGCTCATTCCCCTCCCCCGCTACCACTTTTCTAGGATGGTCACGTACCACCTGCCAGGTGCCAATGTATCACAGGTGGTAACTATACCACTGGTTGAAAAGCCCTGCCCTAGACATCAAGGAATAGATGGTAAAATGGGTCATCCCTATAGAGAAGCTTTTTTCCAAGAAGGTGTCTCAGATGTGGTAGGATTCCAGTCCTCATTATTTACTTTGACCAGTGGTGGCAAACCTATGGCACACGTGCCAGAGGCGGCACTCAGAGCCCTCTCTGTTGGCATGCACGCACGCCACCGCCACCAGCAGCAGGTCCATCAGGCCGCCACTGCCACCCGGAGCAGGAGCCCCACCCAGCACAAAGGAGGTGAAGTGGCCGACTAGCAAGGTGGTAGAGCAGAGGTCACCAACCATTGTCGATTGGTGGACTGGAAGAAAAGGGAGGGGAAAGCATTTTACATGCGTGCATGCGCGCACGGGGCTGTGAGCAAGCACGTGCTGCAAATGGGGCGGGGCTAGTGCCTACTTGATAATTACTAGCTCTGCCCCGCTCTTGCATGGCGCAGTGCTTTGTATCTGCAGCCCGAGGCACGGTGGCGGCCATTTTTGCACCTTGCAGCACGGTGGCCCATTTTTGTGCCCCCGGGTTTTGCGTGCCAGAAGCGGCACTCAGAGGCGCCTCCCTGCCCCCCCCCCCCGAGGGCACCACAATGCTGATGCGGCCCTGGCACTTTGTGATAAATAAGTGGGTTTGGGGTTGCGGTTTGGGCACTCCGTCTCTAAAAGGTTCGCCATCACTGCCTTTGACCATGCCAAGTGGAATCTGCAGAGGACGGTCCCAGTTCGTTCAGAGGAGGCCACGTTGGAACATCTAACCCAAAATGGAACTGAAAGGTAGAGAAGGTCTGCTGGGGTCTTCAGACCTACCGTGAAGGAGAGGGCTTTTTTCTTCTCCCTCATTCTCTGGATGGCATTGCGCACCTGGAGATGGAACACAAAGCGAGGTCAGCCATTTGGTCCAAAGTATCCACCAAGGATGTTCTCCAGAACTCAGGAAGGCCCAGTGCCCTGAAATTCATTCAGATCAGACTAAATTTTCCGCGATGCCTTCCAGAGCCAATGAAAGAGAACTCTCCACATTTGATAGCGAGGGAGCAAGGAGCTGGGGAAGACGGGTGTCTTACTTACACTTCTCAAAACTCTTTTCTCCTTGAGAACCTTGGGGGCACAATTGAGTGACATCTCCACCTAACGGTAAACTACATCTCCCAGCGTCCCCGTCACGTGGGGCTGCAGGCCGAGAGGCTTTTTTTTAGCAACATCTGGAATCCTGCAGCGAGTTTTGGCTGTAGTTTCCCCCCCCCTCCTTTTATATGTAAGGAAAAAAAGAGGAAAAAATTTGATCCTAGGAAATCTGGTCTTGCGTTCATGTGTCGTACGGTTGAATTATTGCTCCTTAAGTTTGTTTGTGCAACAACAAGCAGAAACGTAAAACGAATCGTAGAGATTTGTTTCTGCACTGTGAATCCCCAGCTGGCCATAACATGCTTTTTTTTTTTTTAAGTGGTTAAAAAAAGCCAGGTTTTTTTTTCTTCCAAACTTCTGTATAACTGATGCAACAGTCTCCTGATCTTGAGGGACCAATTTTTTTTTTAATAGTTCAAAAAAAAAAAAAAAGCTGAAATAGTAAGCCTCCCCACAGATCAGGCTTCCCCCAGCCACCACCCACGCCTTGCTGCAGTTATATTTAAAATCGTAAGGACTAGAAACTTGGGGAGGGGTTTTTTTTTAAAGAAAAAAACCCCAAGATGCTGTGTTTCTTACCTCGCTGTTATAGAGTGCGTAGACCAGGAATATGTAGAGGCCCTGTAAAAAAAAAAAAAAGGGTGTGTGTGTGTGTGTGTGAAAAAGCAAATGCATACAGACAAGCTGAAAAGATATTAGCTCGGAAAAATTATTGTTTTAGCTGTTGCAAAGACTGGAAGGGCGTTTCTCTCCCTTTTTCCCAGCAGCCGCGAGGCTGCAGCTGTAAAAAGATCAACAGGAGAAACTCACAATTTCAGCCTCTTTTTTTCCTTTTCCAGCTGCCCACAATGAAAAGATCAACGGAGTCGGTCTGCGCTGCAGAATTACAGCTTCACATCATATTAACCTGAAAGTCGGAGACTGTTTTCCTTGTGGCTTGAATAGATAAGGTTTTCAAGATGGAAAACCCTGAGCTGCACTCCGTCTCCTTGCATTAAGTTCAGCTGGAAAGCCTCACCGCCAAATAATCAAAATAATAAAGCTTTGCAACTCAGAGACGTATCCAGGGGTGATAGGAGGTGAAGGAGCTAGAATAGAAT